ACTCCAGACTTTGTACTAGACATGCAGGTACTTACACTGCTGAGTTACCTCCCCAGCCCACAATCATGTTTTATATCTTGATTTTTCAGGGCCATCTAGATAGCTCAGTGGCTTAAAGCGCCTGCTTAGGCAGATGCAGCAACCAGGGTTCCATACTCCCCATCTCCTGTGCTATACTGGTCCCTCCCTCCCCAGCCCCCGGCTCACTGAGATGGCAGTGGAGACTGAGTGTGGTGGTGTGCACTTGTAATCCCAGCGCTTGAGAGGCTGAAAACAGGAGGATCACTCCAAGTCAGATCTGTGTAGTAAGACTCTATTGAACCTGTACTAGAATACATTTTAAAAAATGAACTGATATATCTTGATTTTTTTCTACTTTCTGTGCATTGATGCTAAGAATATCTCCTAGTTACATAAAAGAGCAGCATTGGAGGAGATGGCATTTGAGTTATGGGCTGTTCAGACCTAGGGATGACCTGTGTGCAGAATCAGCCATCTCACCTGTCATCAAAGCTCTTCAGTACATCTGGGTAGCTGCACTCAGTGAATCTCTCACTCTGGACCAGCATAAAGATTGTCAAAATAACCCATTAAGGAAGTTAATCCATGAAAAGCTAGCTTGGCCTGTCTTTCAAGAGTAACTTTAGAATTTAATAATAATTTTATTAGAAAAGTTGCTTTACTTTATTATTATTATTATTATTATTATTATTATTATTATTATTATTATTATTGGAAACATTGCTTTAAAGGCATGTGAAAATCCTCTTTTAGAACCTTATAGAATTTTTACCCCTTAATTGCTATTGGTAGATGTACATTTAGGAAAGTCATTGTTTTCACAGATTTTTCTTTGTAAATAATTTTCACTATATCTTGTCTAGTTAAAGAGTGACTGGCATGGCTATAGTACCTGTGCAGTTGTTATAAGAATGAAATAGTCTTTAATAAGTAATATAAAATGAAGTGTACTTTCTCATACCAAGCCCTTAGTAACTGTGAAGTACTGTCATGATGAGAATTTTCAGAGTGCCAGACTTCACCTTTTACTGATCATGTTACCAATTTAAGGAAGTACATCTCAACCTTTGGTGAGCATTAAGATGTACACAGATTTCTGGGTTTCCGCCCCAGGTGACTCAGGTGGTCGTGGGTGGGGCCAAAATGTGTATCTCGAAGTTACTGGAAAACATTGATGCTATTGGCTGGGGGGATCAAACCAGTGTTTACGGAGAGATGGGAGGCACGAGATTTGTGTTCATAATAAAATCGGTTACTCTATGTTAGGAATTCTGTTCCCTCTGGCTGTACATTCTGAACCCAAGTCTGCTGTGAGTTTTGTTTTGTGAAGCAGCAGAAACTAGTCAGCAGGTGACAAATTTCATTACTTTACTTTCTTTGAATTTTCCCAGGGAGTGCTAAGTATACCGCTGTTAGTACTGGCACTTTTCTGTTATTTTAAGGATTTGTTGGTTTTTCCAAAGTGGTTTACTCGTGGAGCCAAAAGATGTGATTAGGAACATTATGGTGCTATTGGGTCTTGGTATTTGATGTACTGTAGAATTTATATTTCCTATCTAATATTAATTTTATTTGTATTTTTGGGAAGGGTCTATAGGGTGTTCAGGATCTCACTACTAGATCGGACTCGTAGTGATCCGCCTGTTTACAGCCTCCCAAGAGCTGGGATTACGGGCGCGCGCCTCCACGCCCAGTCTCAATTCTCCTCTCAGCGAGCCCGGGGGCGGGGCCAGGATGGCAGGCCCGGGATGCAGCCCTCAGCTCCTGTGCCAGCTTGCAGTTTCTTTAATCCACTGAGCTATTTGATCTGCCCTAACTCAGATTTTAGTACCTTCCTTTTCAAAAATAATAGAATTTTGCCTTTCCATAATCAGAGCTTGAAAGTATCAATGTTACTGTGTCTTTTCTGAATATAGGCATTATCATGCAAAGTAAATATGCAAACTTCCAATTTGATAGGCAAAAGTAATAATTCATTTTATTTATTTTGTTTTGTTTTGTTTTGTTTGGCTTCTACTAAGTCTAAACATCTTCCTCTATACTTACTAACTGGTTCTTTTTTTTCCTTTTAAAACGAAAAGACAACTTGTTAGAATAAGTCACAGAGCTACATGCTTTATCTGTATTTATAGATTTTAATACACTGCCATATGGATTTTGCGGAGGTGTACTGGGAATTGAACCCAGGACCGCAAGCTTGCCAAGCGGGTGCTATGCCACTGAGCCTTATCTAGACCCGTGTAGATTTTTATCTATCTATACAGCTTAGTTTTCTAAATGCCCTTTATCTCTTTAATACTACAGCATGTATTTTCCAAGCACAAGGCTAACCTGTTCTGTAACTGCTAACTTCTTCCTCCCAGAGGTGGCATGTGTGTTGCTGTGTGTGGCCACCAAACGAGGCTCTGGCATCGTCTCAGAGCCTTTGCAGTGGCTGCAAAATCTGGCTGTGCCTGCTGATGTCTTCTATACCAACATGCATTTAGAAACTGATTATCCGCCTAACCCCCAATTACCTTGAGTTTTTGTCAGACATACAACAACAGATGTGGTATTCCTGTAACTTGCACAAGCGCTACGAGTGGTCAGTGTGTACGCTGTTCACACTGGAGACCTCGCCTCCCCTAGGCATACCACCTGCCTCATCCCACGGTTCATGCCAATATTTCCCAGTTATAAACACATTTCATTACATATTTTTGAAACTATACTTTTGAGAGGCAAGTCCTCTTATAAGCTCAGTACTTTAAAAGTTTCAGATATTTGAGTAGTCATAGCGTGCATTTCTAGCTTCACCTACAGGCAAGTCCGGCACAAGCCCAAAGCCATGTTTATTTCACTTACTAAATCTAGTCCCTTTCAAACGTCACAGAAGTAGAGGCTCACCGGAATCAGAGCTCAGAAATCGAATGAGGTGCTGGATGCCGTTGTGGTCTCTCACAGCTCTTTGATTAGTTTCATTTCCTATACATAATACTCGCATACAGTTCATTACATTTACTAGCACATTTTCTATGTTTATTGTCAAGAGATTTATCAGAGCTGGAATTCCATTCTAAAAATAAATAAAAAATTACTTAGATTTATTTAATATACATACGATGTTTGCTTAGAAATACAAATCTATTACCTTTGTTGCTGTAAATATCTGCTTATTTAAGAGAGAACAAGCCAGGTATGGTGGTAGATACCTACTATCCTAGCACTAGGGAGGGTGAGGCAGGAGAATCATTCTGAGTTTGAGGCCAGCCTGGGCTACACAGAGAGTCCAAGACCAGACTGAACTACCTAGTGAAACCTTGTCTCAAAAAATCAAGAACAATAGTGTGTAAACAAATATGTCTACACATTAAATGATAGTTAATACCATTTTAAACAAAATTTATGTTTTCATGTAAAGTGAATATTCAATAAATACAACTGAAAATGGCCACTAAAATATTATGAGCTTGTAAGTTCATTGTAACATTTATTAAGTATCTAAGAAGTGAAGCAACTGGGTGAAAATAATTGAGTATACTTGCACATTACTCCATTTGGAAATATTTGGACTACATTAAATATTATTTTAAATGTGAATATAATTTGATAATTTTTAATGACATAAAGATGGCATTTGTCCCTACCAACAGAAATAATGAAAGGATATCAAGCAATGAACTATAGAAACATGACCCCTTTCTTAATAAAGCTATAAAACATTGTCAATATTGAAATATAATAAATGTGTATGAGTTGCTAATAGGCATAAGAGAAAGCTCCTCTACCCAAAGAACCTAAGAACAACTGGTAGAACACAGTTTCCCAAATATAATTGACTTTACCTTGAAGTCAAGAAAAAGAAACCCAATTCCCCATTTTTAATACTTTAGGATAGCAGCAGGCTTTTTCCGGGGCCTGTTGAGCATACAGTCTCAAAGTCGGGAAGAGAGAGGAATCAGGCTGACAAGATATGATGGAAGAAATGGCACACTGCTGAGGTTGGAAGGGAAGAGATGGACTTTTTACATTGTGAGATGGTGTAACTATGCTTTGAAGTTTGACACACCACTAGATTCTATGGCTAGGAGAAAGCTGTACATACAACCCTATGGTACAAAAAACAGTTCTACTAGCCTATGACTTTGGTCTATGCCCTTTCCCTCATCTGCTTCCTGCAAATAGCTGAACCAGTAAGAACTCACCTATAGAAGACAAGGAATGATGCAAAAAGAATCTGTACAGAGCTTATCCACGTATAAGAAAAGATAGAAGCACCCCCCCTGGGGCACACAGACACTGCAATTCAGACTGGGCACGGTGGTATGTGCCTGTAATCCCAGTGCTTGGGAGGCCAAAACAGGAGGATCACTGTGAGTCCAATCTGTGTAGTGAGACCCTGTAGACCTTGTTCTAAATACATTAAAAAAAAACAAGAAAAGACAGGAAAAAACATATAACACATGAAGAAAGCTATTATGGTTTGAATATGTGTGTCTCTTCACAATTTCTATATAGGAACTGAAACCCCACGGTGACAGTTGTAAGAGGTAGAGGCCCTTAGGTGATTAGTGATCTTATAAGAGGGCGAGAAAGAAAGAGCTGTGGTCTTCTGCACTTCTTCCTTCTGCCAGGTGAGGACACAGCAGAGTGACATCTTGGAGGTGACAGCCACCCTCACCAGACACTGAACGCTCTGGCACCTTGATCTTGGACTTCCCAGGCTCCAGAATGATCATCAATAAATTTTATTGTTTATACATTATCCAGTCTGTGGTGTTTTCTTATATTGATAAGCCAAGACTAAAACAAATACTCATCGGAAAAATGTTGCCATGAAGTAGGTGAAAAGTGTAACAAAATGTATCATATTATCACTGATACAAAATGAAGTACTTATCATTATAAAACAAGAAGAGATAAGAGAGACACCAGAGCTCAGGAAAGAATTTCTGGGCCAAAGGTGGAGAACTGATCAAAAAATTTTATGAATAATGCTCAGATTTTCTATATTCAATGTTTGATTTTTGTATTACAACAGTATTCATCATCATAGAGTATGCTCTCTTCCTTGACATACATTTTGCATTACTGATAGGTCAACAGATTCTTCACATGTTCTCCTACCCCTCTGGCTATTTCTTCTTAGTGTTCTTTGTGAGTTTCCTGCAACTTTTCTACAAGTCTTAGAGGCCCAGTTTTAAAAAGATAATATAAAATATCACCACTTCTTACCATTTCTACTGCTATTATCGTGGCTCAAGGCACCATTTTATTTCAACTAAATCACTGTAGTTGCTTCTTAATTTTACTGAATCATTTTTACTTATTTCAACAAGTGAAGTAGAGTATGTAAGTCTCTCCATGAAACTTTTCAGACCAATGCCGTTCAACACACATTTAGGATGTGTGTCTGTGAGGCCTTACGTGGTATGGGCCACAACTGCCTGACTGAGTGTCGTCTTGTTGTCTTCCCTCAGTTACGTTGGCTTTCTTGCTATCCCTTCAAAGTGTGAGGCACACTCCTACTTCCTTCACTTTGCATTTATAGCCCCAGCCTAAAATGCTCTTATCAACAGAGAGTGTAAGGAGCAGGTTCTACTCTTCTCATTTACTTTGAACCTATAGTCAAAAGCCATCCTCTTAGCCCTCCACATCCCTGGATTCTACATCTGTCGATTCAACCAAACTTCAATCAAAGATTCTTGGGAAAAACTTGAACTTGTATGGAAAAGGTTGCCATTATTCCCTATACCATACATTGTAACTATTTACATAGTATTTACATTGCATCACGTATTACAAATAATCTAGAGATGATTTATGCTTATTAATATGCATAAATTATATGAAAATATACAGTTTTGATAGGGCCTTGAGGATTTATAGATTTGGCTGTCTGTGAGACCCTGGAATCAGTCTCCTGCCAATATAATCTATATACTTCACAAACTTTCTCCCATCCCTTTCCTTGCTTTCCTTCTTACTACTTATTTTCATCTATCATACCATTTATTTGACTTATTCATTTATTGTCTTGTTACTCTCAAGTAGAATAAAAACTTCATATAGAAGGTGGGACTGGGGCCGGGGAGATGGCTCAATAGAATAAGTGCTTCCCTGGCAAGCGCAAGGGTCTGAGTTCAATCCCTGGTTCTGCCAAAAAAAAAAAAAAAAAAAAAAAAAGAAGTTGGGACTATATCTGTTTTACTCACTGCCATAAACCTAGGATCTATGAGACTATCTACCACATAATAAACTCTCAATAAATATTTACTTCATGAATGGACTGAAGATATATAAAGATATAAATTCAAGGAAACTCCTCTTAAAATAATACAAATGGATCTGTTGAAAAGATACACCAAGTACTGGAAGAATGGGGTAATCAACACATGGATATGTAAATCTTGGACTTCAAAGATAAAGAAAACACTTAGCAGAACTAAGATAAATATGCATATAAACTAATAGAGTGAGTGACAAAAGCAAAACCTGTGTGCATTGCATACAAAAAACTAAGATAATAGAGTGAGTGACAAAAGCAAAACCTGCGTGCATTGCATACAAAAAACTAAGATAATAGAGTGAGTGACAAAAGCAAAACCTGCGTGCATTGCATACAAAGGACACATTCTAACTCTAATTAATGTTAAGTGAAATAAAGCAGACTCACAACCTTAAATGTTGCATGTTTTCTCTTATATAAGAAATAAATAACAAAATTAAAGATTTTAGGAAGTAGGGAGAGACGGAGCTTTTTCAGTGAGAAGAGGATCAAGAGATGGAGGGAAGGGGCAGGGAAGGAAAGGACTGGGGATACAAGAAGGAATGGAGATGTGTTCTGTACATGGATCAACTTCATACAAACAGTGTGTTATGTGCTGTAGACATGAACTAACAACAATAACAACCACAAGTAGCAAAGCAGGACCCAAGGCCTCAGACATGCTAGGAGGTGTCCCACCACTACCCAGATGCCAACTGTTTCAAGAAGTTTTCTCATTCTGACCCCCACTCCCCTTTCCCTGATGATCCCTAAGAGTTTTGGCCCTGGGGAATAACATGGGTCTCTTCCCAGCTTCTATGTAAGGGAACTACAATCAGTCAAAACTGGGTTCTGTGAAAAGCACTCACATATTTGGAGATGACATTCTTGTTTCCATATTGAGCGATGTCATACAGAATGACAGCGCAGCGAGAGTGTAGTTCGGGTTCTTCAGAAACTAGGAGGTTGATCAACACTGGAATAGCTCCTGCCTCTACCAAGGCATTCACAACACTTTCGTGGGTTGAGATATTGCTCAGTAACCCAATGGTCTTACACTGTAATTTTATTTTGGGGCTTTTTAATAGATTGATTAAGGCAGGAATGGTGCCTGTGTAGAAAGGACAAAGAAAGTCATGAAGTATTGTAATTATTATTATTATTAATTAATTAATTTTTTAAATGGAACTGGGGATTGAACTCAGGCCCTTGTGCTTGCCAGGTAAGCATTTATTCTACTGAGCTATCTCTCCAGCCCCTGGTATTGTAATTATTTACAGCCAATTTATCATACCAAGATTTAAATCATGTTTATGGGCATTTTGATATAAATGACTAGCAGGTAAATCTATAAGGTATAAAAACAATCACTTGAAATCATATAAATGTGTTCATTTGTTTAGTCTAAACTAAAAGCAGTTCTCATTGTTCACACATTTGATTTCACATCACAGGAACATACACTGTGGATTGGTAACCTGAAAATACTTTTAAAACATTGGATTTTCATTTAACATCAATTATAAATTCTTTGAGTAACCACATGGTGGAGTTTAGCTTTGATTATTGCATCAACTTTGTATGCCAGTGTTTATGCAATCATTTAAATATTTTTATTATCGTTTGTCCTTACGTTGTACTAGCAACTGAAAAGACAAAGAGTGTTGAATCTAACAAAATGCACATTAGCCTTGTTCGTTACAACTGGTTCAAAGATGGAAATCACCGGGCCTGTTGAAAACAGAAACTTTGGCGTCAGCTGGAAGCTTGTTATATTTACATCAATTCAATGTGAAATAAGAGCTTCTTCTACAACATGCACACTAATGGGAAAGACAATGGTATAACTAGGGCTTTATTCATTTATTTGTATAGCTGAATTGAAACATCTTCATGATTAAATCTGGGCTGGGGAGATAGCTCAGTAGAATAAGCGCTTGCCTGGCAAGCGTAGGGTCCTGAGTTCAATCTCTGGTACTGAAAAAAAAAAAAAAGATTAAATCTGTGGCTCACTTTTTTGGATACAGAGATTTTTATACCTGCTTTTGGGTATATATTAGAGGAATGTTATTTCATTTATTTATTTATTCAGCATTATTTATGGAGTATTGTAGTGGTTGATACAGTGTGCCAACTTGAGAGGTTAAAAGCTTAACTAAATTGGCTCAGTAATTCTACACTCTAGGGCATGAAGGTCCCACCCTAGAATGGCTCTTCACTTAAATGACATACAAGGGAACTGAGGAAGGATGGAGCATCCCATTTCCCAGAGAAGCTCTGGTCTTAGCAGTCAGCTTGGACGTCATCTCCTGGCTTCCAGGGCAGACTGCCTTGGATCCTTCAGCCTTCTGGTGTAAACTCATCAGCCTTTTTCTGTAGACCCATCAGCCTCCTGATACAGACTTGCATGAAACATTGCAGTGAGCTCCAGACCTTGAACTGAATCCTTCAGCCTCCAGAGTGCAGACAACCTCTGCACGCTTCCTCATCTGACTTTGCGGCTGACTGTCATAAACCAGTGTTGTAATTTTCTATGCATTTGTACATCTTGTGTTATATATTTTCCTCTAGTAAAACCCTGACTGGTACAAGTATCCTATGTGCTCTCAGTGCTCGTATTAGGACAGTATTGATAGAACTTTGCATGATTGAACCACTTATTGATGAGGAAATGGGTAGAGAGGCTAAACAATTACTTTGACTTGCAAATGCAGAGCTAGCTACAGATCTGGCCTGGCACTTCCAATGTTATTTTAATTTAGAAAATAAAATTGTGCAAGTACAGAATTGGTTCATTTCTAACTGAAAGTAAATATAAGAGCAGTGTGTTAAAGTAATTTAATACATTGTCTAAGTTTGTAAGCTTTTAGAAAAATGAATTTCTCTAACATTCATTCAGATTTTTGATCCTAAACAGCCTCCAAAAAGAAAATAAATGACTGAAAGATAAAGAAGATAATATTAGACAAAAAGTAAAAGAAGTTTAAAAGGAACTAAAATGATTTTTTAACAATCACAAATATAATTTAGGGCTGGTGGCAGAATGTTCTATGCATACATAAGGCGTAAGTTCAGTCCCTAGTACCAAATACACTAAACACACACACACACACACACACACACACACACACACACACAAACACACATGCACACACACCCTGCAAAACATAGCTCTGCTAAAATAGCATGGGATAATATAGTTAATGCATAGACTTTGAATTACCTGCATCCAAAATACATTTCCAGTAGTGCTCATTTGCTAAGCAAATTACTTCTAAGGACATGATAGCCATCATCCTTCGCTTAAAGTTTTCACACTTCAACATTTCTGTAAGCATTCAATAGAAAGGTATAAACTGAAACTGACAGAGAAGGTAATGAAATGGTGCATTTTGTTTCCATGCAGGGAAAGCGAACCCCAGGACTGGAATCACTGCCATGACCACCAGCTGCATACATAGAACCCCCCAGCATTAATGCCTGTGTCTAACACGCTGAACAGACTGTGTGCTCTAGTCCTAGTCTGGAAGATCCCCCCAGGGGACCACTTTTATAGACTTAGTCTCCACATTACTGTCAACAGGAAGTGGCAGAACCCTTGGGTGAAACCTACTGGGAGGTTGTAGGTTATTGGGGGAACGCTTCTGTGGATTGTGAGACCCCACTCCTGCCCTTATGTTTCCCTTTTCTTTCCCTTATTCAATCAGGAGGTGAGGGGCTTCCTCTGCCATGACTTCCTGCCATAATGTACTGTCTCACCACAAGCCCAAATGCAACGGGGCTACACAACATGAGATAAAACCTCCAAAACTCGGAGCCAAAAATAAACCTTTATTCTCCATACATCTCAGGTATTTGTTACAGTAATGAAATATTAACCAACACAATATATACCTGGGATCTCTGAGCCTCGCAAATGTATATAATTAGTGAAAAAAAGTCCTGAAATTCTTGATTTGAATGGCTTTCACTGGCTGGAATCAAAGTTGGAATTCACTTACAAAATAATAAATCTCTCTTTTGTCTGAAATCAGTTTTGAATCAACTTTGAGTATGAGTTTTCAAGGATGGCAAAGTAAATTACATTATTGCTAATAAAATTTTAGTACTCATTAAGTTAGATATGAGGCTTTATGTATTTTCTGGGCATAAAAAAGATATTTTAAAAATTTTGTATGAATTTATAATCCAGACCAAAGATAACAAAAATATGCATTCTCATAAACTAATGTGTAGAGTGTGAGCAAGATGTCCTGGGCGTATGGGTTCTCCTCATCATCTCTTTATCCACCTAATCTGTTACCAAATTCATCCTGGCCCTACGTTGGCTAGGACACTCCATGGTGTTCTCTTAAAACTCAGCTTCCACTCCAAGGGCTAATCCTGGAGCTCTAGAAAACTAGTTCTTCTTTTTCCCATGGTGGAAACAGGTAGTGTCAGGAGGGAGAGCCATCCCAGAGTAAAAGCAAAGAAGTGGGCCGGATCTGTTCCAATCATTATCAGGAACCCTTAACGATGACCATAGGATGCATTGACCAGGGTTAAGCTGTTGTTATTGTTAGGGCCAGATTTTCTACCCTTAAGGCAGGAGTTTGCACTTGTTTAAATGTATTAAAAATGACATGAGGCTCCTCTCAGCCCCTCCTAAAAAAGCTAAAATATAATGATGTATATAATGCACCATTATATATATGTATATATATATTGAACATTATAAATACTTTCCAATATCTCTTGAGACTGATATACTCAAAATACACTCCCAGCACTCAGCAAGTTCCAAGATTGGTACTGGGCTTGTCTTGAAGCCAAACATTTAGACTTCTTGGACAAGTAAAATACAACTGAAAATCTTAAGCATCCCTTACCCTAAAATGAGCTGTTGGGAAAAAAAAACCAATTCTCACTCTCCAACGCTTTTCCTTCTCCACTTTAATGAGTTTTTATTTCACCCACATGTTTCACAGTTAAATATCATCCAAAGGGTTATAGCAACAGGTCGTGCTTTGTGACCTCGCCCTGCCCACTTTTCTGGGTTCATCTCTCCAGATGTAACCAATTTGTATGCTTTTCTCCATTCCTTTTGTGATTTACATATTTCTGAGTATTTACATATACTGCTACATTTTGTCTTAGATATCATTTATAGATAGAATAAAAATGGAAAATAAGCTCTTTCAACACAACTCTGTCATTTTCTTGGACCACATTTGTGATTAATTAAATCAATATTCAGCGCTTAGTTATGACGCTTGTACAAATACGATCCATGATGCAGTACAATAGTGCAGTGCAGCTATATCTCGCTTCTCACTTTGTCTTTGCTGCAGGTAACAACTTCCTCATTTCATTTCCTCTCCTTAGCTTTCTTTAAGTCGCTTATTTTTCCTGCCCTTTCACTCTAGGTTAGGTGTGCAGTTCCATTCTGGGACTTCTCGTTCCTGTCACTCTTGAAGTTTTCTGTGCCTCTCTCCTGGTGTGACATCTCATTTCCTGGATCCTTCTATCTCCTAGTGGTGAGGGAGAATTCCAGCGTCAGTGTCCTTAAGACTTCAGTGTCCTTAAGTCTTTCCTGGCAAGGCTCTGCGTACAGCACTTCTGCCACTTCACATGCCTTCCGAGGGCCCCGCGCTATGAATCTGAGGAGCTCTTTGCTTACCTCTGATTGGCTTGGAAGGATCTTCTTCAGTCAGCTAACGGCTAACACTTGTCTATCTAAATCCATTGTCTAAGTTTTTGTTGTTACTATATTGTTTCTCATTTTTTCTTTGTATGCTTGATTACTGCTGCTGGTGAAATTATTACTTAATCTTCATGCAATTTTAGTGCGGTCTCAGGAAGGAATAAAATTAAATGCATACATTCAGTTGGCCAAATAACCTTTACCCTCAAATTTCTAGCTAGTCTGAACACAAACTTGTGACAAAAAGTCAAACTGATTTTTTCACAAAATATTTATTAAAAATGAAGAATTATCTTGCTGAAATTTTCTCTACCATTAGGTGGTTACAATTCTCTACAATTAGGTGGTTATACATTGGAGGGCATTTTTTCTACTTCAAATAATTTCATCTCTTTCCTTTTTTAAAAGTTACTTTTTGGTGGTAGAGAAGATGACTTCACTTCTGAGAAAGTTTGCAAAAATAAAAATGAGTACAAGTGCCTAAAACTGTCGCATCCTTTCTTCTTTTAACTTAGAAAAACTACTTTTGTACACAAACACAGAGCTCTTTATCATTTGCATTTTTGTTTCTGATTTTAACTCATCAGTTGTTTATTTCATGATAATCAGAACATTTATTTACAAAGAAATTGTGTGCTCTATACTCACCTACTAAAGTCTTCCAAACTGGGAGTTCAGGATTATTTAATTCTATTATATGCTTAAGTACTTCCGTGTGAAAGGTGAGCACTGACAAGTGGATTATATTGTTTCCTTTAGTATCTGTTTTTCTCCAGTTAGCACCAAGAGAAAGCAGGTATTGAATAGTGTCCAGAGCTCCTGAAGTGGCTGCCAGTAACAGCGGAGTACACTGATTCCTAAAAACCAAGGAATACATTATAATGACATTGAGTACAGAGTGTGAAAGTGACTTTTGGTTAAGCTATTCTAAGTACTGTTGTAGGAACTTTGATAGCGACGGTCACTGTCTCCCCACTCCATATTCCATGGGGAGCACATTCGCCTCTCTTGCCTAGAGGCGTATATGTCCTCAGGCTCCTTGCTGACTTGATTGTCATGCCTTTTAATGTCTTTGGAAGTTGATGATACACAAAACTCTTAGAATATACTTTCATCCTTGTAACAAGTCCGAATAAAGTAAAAAGCAAGGCAAGTATGAGCCCATTTCACAAATGGCTCAGGTAGTAGCCAAATCGATTTCTTTATACTTCACTTCCAATTTTCACATCTTAGCTTCCTAACTGTGCTGAAAACTAATAGCTTTTTTTTTTTTTTTTTTTTTTTTTTTTCAGAACCGGGGATTGAACTCAGGCCCTTGTGCTTGCCAGGGAAGTGCTTATTCTACTGAGCCATCTCCCCGGCCCCTAATAGCTTTTTAAAATAATATTCACTATCTGCTTTTTAGATACAGGCGATCTTTTGGTTGGGCACATGGTTACCCAGCCCAAAGTTACATTTCCTAATCTGTCTCACAGACAGGTGAGGCTATACATCCAAATTCGTCCTCTGTGTTGGTAGGATTCACCTGAGCAACTGCCTGAAGAGAATGGAGAGTGCCAGTGTTTCCCTTGCTACCTACAGTCGTGATAATAGAAGCAGGCATTGCTCTTGTACCATGACACAAAAGAGAAAGCCAGTGTCCTGGAACTGAGACCACTATACTAGCCCTAGATCATTGAATAATAAACTGTCATATCATGATGCTGGCCCATAGACCATTGAATGATAAACAGTTACGCTGGCTCTAGACCACTGAATATCTGAAGAGGTAGAAAAAACACATGAAATCCTGCCACAATCATGTTAAGAGGCTCAAAAGAGTCACTTGTGTTCTTCAGAGTCCTAGACAAGGATGTACCTTCAGAACAAGTTATGCCTCTACCCCAAAGATTGCTTGGTCCTTGCTTAAATGTGCAGCCATGTTCTTATTTCAAGGTTGTCTTTCTTTCTTACTATACTTCTTTTTCAGATACCACTAGGTACTTACCCTGCAGTACAAGCCCCATCCACTTTGGTCTGCAGCCCTAGGCTAACTCCTGGTTGTTCAGGGTTCAGTGTGGAGCAGCTTTCTACTCCTTAACCCTGGGCTTTGTCCTGAGCACTGAGTGATTAACCTGACCAACTACCCTGTAGAACAATGTGACTGTGACAGGGTGAAGAAAAGGTCCCAATGGCTCACTCTTGATTCCTCCAGAAAACATGCATAGTTGAATTGAAGCTATTGTCTTGAATTCTGAAGATACACGGTAGGAGAAGACAGTAACCAAAAAGGACATCAAGTCACTCATATCAAAGGTGTCTTTCAGTGTCAATGCATAAGGAAAGCCATGCGTGTAGAAATTTGTATCCTTATAAACACTCAGTAACTTACTCAGCAGTTGCCTCGGCTTCTATCAGACTGGGATCTTTCCTGTGAAGAACCATGATGATGCAGATATTATCATAGAATGCGGCAAAGTGGATCGGCATCCAGCCTCTTTTCTCAGAAAGCGTGTAATCGGCTTTGAAAGAAAGCAGACAGAGGGTGGTTTCCAAGGAGCATGCCTGGGCCGCCAGGTGAAGCGGTGTTGGACCTGGGATGGACGGGCGATTACTTGAGGAGTGGTCAAAGAACTAACGTTCCTTAAAGAAATCATACCGTTCTGGCATCCCACCACACAGCTTACTACCATACAACATAAACTCTCTAAGCTAAGCACTATAATAATGAGTTAGGCAATCCTGCATTTCTTTAACTTAAATGTCTGGCCAGGAATATATCATACTTTTAAAAGTTGGGGCTCAGGACATAGCTCAGAGGCACAGCACATGCCTGGCAAGTGTGAAGTACTGAGTTCAGTTCCAAGAACCAAAATAAAATACAATAAAAAGTGAAGAAATACATTCACTCTATTCACAACATTAAAATATTAAATATTTGAAATTTTAAGAGAATATATAAAATAGCTTTGTGATAAAATAAGCTATTTCTTGTTTAAATTATTTTCCATTTTATTCAAATATTTTGTGGTACAAGACTGCATAAAACTGGAAAAGAATACATATTAACAAAAGTCTTCTCCGACACTAAACCCAGAGGCCTTTGCGAATTCTTGTCTTATTTCTGAAATTCTTGTCTTACTTCCTTCTGAACAGTACTTTTCTACTGTTGACCACTTGTTCCTATTTAAAATTGTTGGGGCCCTGCCCCTTAGCTCAGTTCGCTAAGTGGCTGCTTCAACAAAGAAGTCAGGCTCAGGTTGCTGTGGTTTGATCCCCACAACTCAAGCCAGCCAAACCTGCCCCAAAAGCATTTGGAGAAAAAAAAAAATCCTATTTAAAATTGTTACTTCTCTTGACATTTGTGATCTCTTCATTTTGCCTCTAGAATCGATCCATCCCATGGTTTGAAAATCTTAGGAACCTATCTCCACGTCAGCAGCACCCTGACTCCAGTCATAACCACCGTGTGCCGCTATCTCTACCTTTCTTAGGGTCTTTCCCTCATTCATATTTTTCAAAATGTAAAACTGATCATTTCAGTCCCTTGCTCTCTGCAATAGCATCTCCAGGCCTCTGCTTTCTGAGAAGATGACAGGCTGCACTGGAATGACCCTGTCTCAGACCTCCCAAATTGATACAGCCTCTCAATGGCTGAGGCTCTAAGCTGCATTAACTGCTTACTTTTAAAGATGTAAATACCATTCTTGAGCACCTAAATTTATAAATTTATGAAAATGGAGGTGGCAGTCCATTTCACAGTAAAAAATTGAAAGTAAAAACCTAAAAAAAAAATCAAATAACTATGATTAGAAAAAATACATTTCAAGCTGAATATGGAACATCATTATGGGACACTCTCGTGTGACAGAATGTTTTGCAGACTGTACGCTATAAGAAAAGTTGTAATATATGCCACTGCCTTGGGAAATGCACGGCTATTTTACTTACGTCTTACCATTTCTTTCTTTTTTCACGTCCATTTTGGATGACTCTGCTTTAAAAGGGAATATATAAAGAAGCATGATTAATAAAACGTAGCAGTTTCCTACATTTGTCAAAAGATTCCTATGAACAGAACAAATGGGCGGTGTGTAGATGACACCAGGTGTGGCGCGTAACTTTTGGTGAAGCCATGTGGGCATGTTGCTTAAGCCTGACGCTAGACTAACCAAAGCAGACCCCAAAACTCTGCCTCTTGGGTGGCTGCTAAAACTCACAGCTGACATAATTTCATGCTGAGTAAGTAATGATATTACTAGCACATTTATACATTTTCCATGCATCGAAATCTACAAACGTAAATCTAAGAAGTCAGAGGATCAATGAAAGATTTTAATTTATCAAAGTTTTTTTTTTTGTACTAAAAAAAAAGGGAGGGGGGCAGCCAAATAGCTCAGTGAATTAAAGCACCTGCAAGCAGGGGCTGGGGGTTTGATCCCCAGGGCCTGCGGTGCCAGCCCTGCGTGCAGGGCAGGCTGAGATGGCAATTGAGACTGGGCGTGGTGGTGCGTGCCTATAATCCCAGCTCTAGGGAGGCTATACACAGGCAGATCACTACAAGTCCGATCCAGTAGTGAGACCCTGAACACCCTGTAGACCCTTCCCTAGAAATACAATAAAGAAATAAATTAAATAAAATAGTTTAAAGATAACACATAATTAAGTAACAGGTTAAAAACTACATTTGGGTTTGACTTAACTCTGAATTTTTTTGACTAGCTTTATTCTATTTTTTTTTTT